TGGTTGATAATGCGCCAAAATGCTGATCACTGTTGCATCTCAGCAGTCACGGTCATTTCACTGACGTCGTCAGAAAGGAAAACTATGTGCTAACCTTGTCGCAAAGATGATGCATGGCTTTAAGATCCACCATTCGGAGCCCGTGCCCAGTGGGCTCAATGAAATAGAAGCAGGCGTGGACAAGCTGCTCCGGAAAGACACCCAGACGTCCATGTGAACCACAGCCGGAGATGTTGCGGTTGATGTTCAGTTCAGCATCCATAAAGGCTGCATTCCGTCGGTCAATTTCATTCAGGATGGGCTCCCAACAGGCCGAATTGTCAAGCGATTCGGCAAAGCCCGGCGTGTCGATGACGGTCATTCCGAGGGAAACATTGTTTTCCATCAGTTCGAATGTAGCTGATGCCACTGGACTTGTCGTTCTATCACGATAAAATCGAACTGATGGACCCTGACGTTTGTGAAACAGAAACACAGTACATATGAAAATCTAAGATGATATCCAACGGCAAAGTAATGCTGGGACGGATATCTTTTCAACCGTCACGACCAGGAAAGACATAATGCAGTACAATCGAAAAAGTTGCATGAAATCAGATAAGTCCAGTACCATTTGCCCTAACATTCACGCAAATTTCCTAATCAAAAAGCGCCTAAAAACTGCAGTTTTGTCAGTAAATTTTAGTTAAATAAACACTGAAAGTAAAAACATATCTGAATGAAAGCCATTGATAGTGTTCTTATCATTCTGATGGCAAAACTTATAAATAGGATAATCATTTTAGGCGCATTTGGTAATTTTATAAAAAGATCAGTCCACTCTAATTTAGTGCGAGCTGGCTTCTTCTGGTTTATTGGATACAGAGCTCCGTAATAAAACTCAACATAAGTAAAAGGGATGAGGCACCTTTAAAGCAGGCAAGTGCTCAAAGGTTTTTTTCTATGCTCGGCAAATAAGTCTCATCAAGTAAAAAGGTATAATTTTACAATCGCACAGCATTGGTTAAAATAAGTAAGGGAAGGTTAAGCCCAAGAAATAGGCATTTTAAAGCCCGGCGACAACGGAAGGTCCATGACCATCAATTAAGTGTGGTTGTTAGGTCTGACATAGATGTGTGTGTGTCTTAGTGACACAGGTTGGACGTATAACGTATAATACTAGCATAAAAGAGGATACTGGCGATACTGATGGTTGGTAACGATGCTTTTATGTGACCTGCATGTCAATATGCAATAAGTTCTGACAAAACGCAGTTGTAAAGGCGGAGTTAACAAACTAGCCAGGCTTTAAAGAATAAAACGCGATAAAATAAATGAAAAAAAAATTGCATGGCAGTTTATCTCGATTGCGGAACAAATGGAGGTATTGTCTTACACCTCCCGAACAGAACTTTCACAGGTACCCACTTTGTTAAGAGAAATAAATAAAGAAAATTGGAGACTGTAGTGCTTATAACTGACTTGTTAACTATTGTCCGTCGGCCATATTCAGACAAACCTCCGCCACAGGCCTTTAGATCAATGGTGGAACGATGGACTGAAAACGCTCAGTGGCCAACGGACTCTGGGTTCGAATCCTAAATTAAGCAACCCAGAATAAGGGCATGACGGACAGATGACGATAAATATGCTTGAAATTGTCCTTTCGTTCTATCTTGTCTTATGGGCAACCCCTCGCACAGCGTTTCACTGATCGACCTCTACCTTAAAAATGAATTTCACTTAAGTCTCTTAGTAATAACCGTGACTGGAAATGACTGTTGGTTTGGGTCTAGATTTAGGAAAACCATTGCCGTAAACTATATTTAATTTAAATAATAGTCGCATGTTATCTCACATAATTTGTAGTGCGATGGCGCCCGTTCGAAATGGATGTGTTTAGGTAGGAAATCTGTCTCATAATATATATCTTAAAAACGTTAGGGAACCCTAACTAACATTTCTAACTGTAAGTCGATATTTGAGTTGTTTCAGACGAGTAATAAATCAGCTATAAAAAATCCCAAAGAATCAATCGCTTACGGCGTATATGTCATTATAAATATCCGTCATAAAAAGTGAATTCAAAAATGTTGATTTTCCAAGTCCAGATGCACCCACAATGAGAATGTTGAATGTGAAACCTTTTTGATTCGCCTTGCGATTTATTTGTGTTGGAAGTGCGGAGAATCCGACGTTGGACTGTTTCCAGATGTTTATTTTAACGGGGGACTGTTTTGAAGATAATTCACCTGTTTCAGAATTTTCTTTTGCATTCTGTGCAACTCCAGCGGTGCTGTAGGACGAATTATGGATTTCGTTAATAGCCCGGTTAGGACTGTCTTTCGGTGCCTCGGGGTTTGACGATGTGGTATCCTTTCCTAATCTGGTATGTGGTGAGACACGCTGATTGAGATCCGTGCGTGGAAACATTACTTTGTTCATATTTTTCAATATTTATACACGTAGAAGGGGTTTGCTGTGAAGAAAATCCCGTTTACACGATAATTCATCCAAGAATAATCGACAAAAGCATAAACATTATAAACAGTGCGCCATTTTAGGTCAGTCAGAAGGGGCTGTGAATTAACCACGATTTTAGTCAAGGTCAAGATTTATCCGCGATGTCGGAATCTGTAATGTGACTGAAGGAACTACAAAACAATTTTCAGAAAATTGTAATGTGATAAGGGCAGTCAACTTGGGCTCATTCTTCATAGTCTAATTAAGACATATTTAACTGATATTGAATTTGTTCATTTTGCCGCTTTCTACTTAACAATTCCATCCCTGCTAGCATAATCCACAGATTCCCCGGTGCGCGCGCCGGGGGGAATCCGGGGAAATCCAGGGGAAGCTGGGATGATTAATCTTGATTAGCGTATTTGATTGACAGTAGCCATTTTTTAAAAACTACTTTATATCAATAAATTATTGATCACGCTGTCCTCTAACAAAACAAAAAATCTGAGGCCTAAAAATGAGAAAAGGGCGTGCCCCGCCGCGAAA